CATGTGTTCCCTCGTTACCCTCCTCATTTGCTCCCTATTTATTGTCCTTGTGTTTACAGTCCTGTGCCAGTTCATCGTCGAATGTTCCCTGTCGTGTGCCTTGTCCTGCCAGCCAGTCAAGTTGCCAGCTGTTTTTTCCCCTACGGGGTAGTTTTTGTTTGTTTTGTTTTGTTTCTGCCTTTAATAAAGCCCTTATCTTCCTGCAATATTGAGTCCTCGCTCCATCCTTCATCCCCAACCCTGACACTGAATACATGACATCATCAGCAAACTGAGCTACATTTTATTGACATCGTTTGTGAAGAATTTATGCTTGTGTGTGCATATGTTTCACCAAAATATGTCAGCAAAAGCTCTGAAATCACATTTATAGTACATAAGTTGTAAGGACTTGTAAAGTTATTTTGAACTTGAAAGAGATGGTCATTTTGAAATGTGATTGTGTGGAAATGAGCTGCATGAAATTTCTTGAAATATTCTCCTTTTATGCTTCACAGGAAAAATAACAGCATATGGGTTTGGAACAATATGAGGGTGAGTAAATAATGGATTTTTTTTTTTTTTTGGGTGAAGTATTCAGTATTATTATTACATATTTAGTATTAGATATTTATTCTATGAATTATTATTTTTTTAATGCTAAATGAATTAAGTCCAAACCTTTTACAGACCTCCCTAACTGAAATAAGTATTGTAAATGCTGTATGTAGTATGTTTCATATTTCATGATATTACAACTTGAGCTGTACAAATCTTGGAATTTCCCAACTGCTGATCTCCTGTACGTTAGCACATCACCCATGACCAAGATTAAAGGCATTAGAGGTTGTTTTCTGCCATACGGGGCCCAGAGCTCTGCTCCTTCAGCACACTAATATGGTTAATTAGCTGCTCAGACAGATATAGGGAGCAGGAACATAAATTCTGGCCTGCGCTCATAACATCATATACAAGCCTCTTTCAGAGTCAAGCGGGAAAGACTTGTTTGTATTCAAAATATAATTGAATTTCAGGGCCAGAGAGGGAAAATAAACTGAAAACGGAATTGGATTTTCTTCCATATTAAGAACATGGGACCAAGTTCCCTCATGTTTCCAATCAATCAGGAGCATTAATTGATGCATTTACTGTATGTGCCAAAGAGATGATGGCTTTACAATTAGAGGGTGAAACAGAGTTCGCACAAAAATACAAATTCTGTTTTCATTTACTAACCTCATGTCATTCCTAACCTGCATGTTTAATAAATAAGAAGATATTTTTTTCGCCATACAATGTTGTTTGGACCCCATTAACTTTCAAGATATAGTCTTGTTCCGCAGACGAAAGAAAGTCATACAGATTTGGAATGACATGAGGGTGAGTATAAATGATGACAGACTTATTTATTTTTTATTTTTTTAACTATGCCTTTATCGCAAATATTCTCACAAGTAAAAATAAAGTATGACATGTCAATACACACACACACAAGATACAGAATGACATGTCAATACACAAAACCTATTCTCAGTTTTTAAGTAACTTCAGTCAATTCTGTGAAACCAAACCATGAAAAATGCAAACACTTTCAAATTCATAAATTATTCATCAGCAGGAGGACATTAGTGAGATGCTGACTATTTTTAAGAGTGGACTCTAAGTGGGCAAAATCAATGAGTATTTTATGGCCTACTGATGCACTAATATTTTAGGAGCTTCTCTATAAATATGATTTTTAAAGGGGACATCGGATGCCCATTTTCCACAAGTTGGTATGATTCTTTAGGGTCTTCATGAAATGTCTGCTACATACTTTGATTAAAATTCATCAATTGTCATGTAAAACAACACCCTTTTTACCTTGTCAAAAACCAGGGGCGTAGCTACTTGGTGGCCATGGGTGGCCAGTGCCACCCGATTGAAGCTTGGCCCAGTGTTAATTTTGACAGGCATTTTTGATTTAGTCTTAGTCTTTATCTTGAGACGAATATGCTTAATAGTCTTAGTCACATTTTAGTCATTTGAGTCTTTCATAGTTTTAGTCTAGTTTTAGTCGACGAAAAGTCATTGCATTTTTGTCAACTTTTAGTCATTACTTTTAGTCAAACTGCAGTTACCAACATTTATTTTGGTAGTTATTTTATATGTAGTCTTCAATTTGAATCAATGATTGAATTTGGAAAAACTATTTCCAAACCAATTTTAACAATTTTAATTTTTGGGTGAACTATCCCTTTAACAGTAGTGAAAAGGGAGCAACTTATAAAAATTATAGTTGTTCATATATAATATATATCCTTTATAATTTTTATATAATTTTTATATAAATCCCAGCTGCTGGAGCACGGAGAAAATATCGGACAACATACACCTGGGTGAGGGCGGAGATATGCTAATACGGGACAGTCCATCAGCGACCGTGGGCGGGGCCTGAGCAATATGACGTCATACTACCCAGAAAATCAAAATGGCTTGATAATTGAGACTGTTTAGGTTTTTGGGGGATTTAAAAAAAGGATTTTTTATAATTGTAGGGTGGTTATGTCCACACACTGCTAAGACAAATTTTTATATGCAAATGAAGATATTTTGCATCCAATGTCTTCTTTAAAATTAAAATATTATAGTCTTAATTCAAGTGATGAAGGATTTTGAAAGTCTGACAGTTATCAGTATTGAGCACATATTGTAAGTTTAACCCTGCCTGGTTTAAATGTTTGAAAATGATTAACAGTTGAAAACATTAGAAACGACCGTGGGCGGGGCCTGAGCAATATGACGTCATACTACCCAGAAAATCAAAATGGCTTGATAATTGAGACTGTTTAGGTTTTTGGGGGATTTAAAAAATTGATTTTTATCATTTTAGGGTGGTTGTGTCCACACACTGCTAAGACACATTTATATGCAAACACCATGAAAAGTGAATTTTGCATCCAATGTCCCCTTTAAACATTTTTTTTTTATTGTGAAGTTACATGTATTATAATGTCTTGCTCAATATAGAATGATTTTTAACTGTATGGTAATTTAGAGTTTTTACAGGTTTTTACTGAAGTGTTTTTCTCTTTTTCCATTGTGCAAATATCAGCTGGCCTATGCACTAATTCAGAGGATTCATTCTCATCCATGTCTTGCTCATCATGCTCAGTTGGTGTACTTTGGCCATTATCCAAGTCTCACAAATCTACATCCTTCACAAAGACCTTGAGCCGTGCCCACCAGCATTTATACTGCCCTGCAGAGTTAAACCACAGAGTCACCAACTAAAGAGAAAAGTTTTTTGATTGAATTATGATTGATCTTATATCAAATTTCACACTTTAGAATGTGAGCATAGCAAAGCCAAACCCATCTGTCACAGGATAGACTTGATTTGACTCAAACCTCAATTTTGACAAAATGTACGGTTAATGTGTGTCACTTATGTACACCAGTATAGAATAATGTAGTTTTTAAGTCTATTCTATTGACACGACAGTTTTGCAATGCATTCATCTTAGTGTGACCATAATTAAATCATTTTCTCAGATTTCAGATATTGTGTGTTAATGCAATCTCAGAAACATTTAGCATCATGGAAAAGCTGTATAGCAAGTTCATGTCTGTATAAAAACAGAGCACAAAAGCACATTTTATTGAATTAAATCCTGTGTATGCCATTCTTGGTTTATATATAGTAATTAAGCTGTCATGCAGCCGTTGTATTGTAAGATGTATTGGTTGCTCATTGCAGTTTGTAGGATCTCTAAAATATAACTCTTGCCTCATCTAGGTCACTTTAAGTGTTTGTTTGTATAACTAAAGAGCTTGAAGTTCATCTGAAGGTCAAAGAAAAAAAAACTATAGATAAAGCTGCTAGTTTAATTAAATGAGACAAGGTGACCAAATGATTTAGAGCTGTTTGGTTAACAGATTAATTGCATTTCAAAGTCCTTTGATAATGAAGCCAAAAAGAGCACCACCATCAAGTTACTGTAACATAGAATGACACAACCAAAGATAGCTATAGAAAATATTAGACAAAGAAGATACATGCAAGGTAAGATGCATAAAGTGTATTTTCAATTTTTTTTATATTAAAAAAAAACATTTTTATTTATTTGTTTATTTTTATTTTTATATATATATTGCTATGTTGTGGAGACACTTTGGCTTATGTATACATCTTGTATATTTTATAAAAACACTTATTACATGAATTACTATTAATTAATAAATCAGTTTTAAATAACAATATTACAAATATTGTATTGACATATAACAATATTATTAAAATTTTTATAGAATTATAAATATAAATTATATATATTTTAAATAAATGTAGGTTATATCAGTATGTTATGGAGTCTTCCATGACATTCTAATTTATTGAGATGCACCTGTATATGCGTGTATGTGTGTGTGTGTGTGTGTGTGCATTATATTTTATAAAAATATATTAATATAAATATATTGTCAATATATTTATGATATGTACACATACATATTTATTTATTTTTTTTATTAAACATCATAGAAATCATTGAAATAAAAATGTGCTTTTTATTAAAATAAAAATATTATGGAAAATATTTTTTAAAAATCTACAAAAAACAAGCTCATAAGCCTTCATAAATCCTTGTAAACAATACTATCCAAATTCAACAATTCCTAAACGCTCAGAAAATCACCCTCTCAACACTGTAAACAAACACACTGCAGATGCTGTTGATAAAATACTGCATTACTCAGTTGACACACCCACAGCCACATAGCCATGCCCACTTTACTGCAGACACACCCAGATCACACACAGTGCAGCGTCATCTCAGCAGAGAAATGCAGTGATGCTTGTCAACAAGCTCAGCACCAGTGTACCACTAACTCACACATGCACAGCCCAACTGCACAATTATATTGTCCTGCCACCAGTGGTGCTGAGTGTGGAGATAAAAATAGCACAGAGCATGCAGAGTAAGACAGATACACAGAGAAAAAAGCTAAAGAGACAGAGCAAAATAAAGAATGATGCCCACCCGCGGCTGACGCATGCCAGTTGGGAAATGCCAGGTGAAAACAGTCACACATGGTAGCTGTCTTCTGGGGGTCTTGTCCAGGTTGTCAGTACTGGTTTCTGGTGACGCACTGTTTTGGGAAGCCTCGCTCTCTTCCTCCGAGGCTGAAGAACCTGCTTCTTCCTTTTTCCTCTCAGTCAGTCACTCCAGATGCAGAGGACAAAATAAAGTCGGAGCTGGTGAACAGAGATAAAGTCAGTCTGACTTGGCATGCGAGGGAGGGACGGAGAGAGATGTCGTGCTCCATCCACACTAGTTCGTACTTCACAGGAGTGAGGCTGCACTTTACCCTGCCAGAATAAACTCGGTCTCTCTAGCACGCAAAAACAATTAAAGGGGGTATGGCTGACTTGGGACGGGGGCTGTCCTAAACAATGCAAATCCCTCCTTCTAAGCATCTCACTCCATCCTTCTGATCACTTCTGACCAATTGCCGCAGAGATGCTCTGGACCGTCTGACAGCTGATTGGTTTACAACACAAGAAAAACATTCCATCTTTATAGGCATGCGGCAGAGATGTGTAATTGGATTTGACACCACACAGTACATGTTTTCATGTCTGCTGGGTGACAGAAGAGGAAGTGAGGATGCAGTTTGTCAGGTGACTAATGTGTTTAAGAGCAGCTGTGTACCTGAGCTGGCTGACATTCACAAACTTCTGATAAATAGTTTTGTCTGATATAGGGTTACGAGACATGTCTGTGGGAATGTCTCCCCTTGTTTCTGCACGACTCCGTCCTTCTGAGGATGATTTATGATTTCATGTCTAAGAATAAAAAATTATCTCAGAAAGGTACCAGACTGTGACGTCAACCTGAGACCAGTTCAACGTGCCGGATCACCACACTCAGACTACAGCAGTCTATATATATATATATATATATATATATACAAAACGTTTGATTTTTTTTCTCATACATTTCAGAAGAAACATTTCCATTGGGCTAATCAATTTAGTTATTTTGTTTAGTGGCACACACACACACACACAGATAAGAAGATTGGACAGGTTTGTAAGTTTGTATGTATCATTGAAATTAGGTCAATTAACATTCATATCATGAATTCTTGTCTGGATATGCAGTATGTCAGTTTTATTCATTTATTAGCAGCCTTATTAATGAACGAAATTACTATTTACTATTTAACAGTTTGAATCCTGTTAGAGGCTTTCTATAAAGTTTAGGAAAGGTATTACTGCAACAGAAAACAGCAAATCACAGGCATGTTTATTTGGCATGTTCACATTGCTCGTTATTTGTGATACATTAATAATTAAATAAACTTGTGATTGACAAATAAAACATGGGTTGAAGTTTAGAGTATTTATGTATAGACATATATTCCCTATGCATGTATGTATACACTCTTGATGTTCATTCTTCTGTCTTAGGGCCTTGTAAATAGAAGGATGTCTGTGTTTCATATTCATCACATATGTCCATCTCTCTTTATGTTTCTGCATCTGAGACAGGGAGTGGCAGGATGAAACTGCATTAGCCCCTGGCTGCTGCTCAAGAAACTCCACACCAAAATCAATTTAGGCACTTGAGAAAAACAGAATGTGCCCTGCCACCATCTTTGCTTACGCTTTTTCCACCAAGCTTCTGCAAAGACCTACCATCTTCAGCCATTATGCACTACAAATTCTGTGAACATTGAAAAGGTAATTCGTCCTCCAAATGATTTATATATATATTAACATGCTCATAGATTGGAAAGTTTGAGTATGGAAGGAATCGAAAAGACTGTTGTAGGGTTTCTGCTGATAAGCAGATGCTTTTAATTTAAAGGGGTCATATGATGTTGCTAAAAAGAACATTATTTTGTGTATTTGGTGTAATGAAATGTGTTTATGCGGTTTAAGGTTCAAAAAACACATTGTTTTCCACATACTGTACATTATTGTTTCTCCTCTATGCCCCGCCTTTATGAAACGCATCGATTTTTACAAAGCTCATCGTTCTGAAAAGTGAGGTGTGCTGTGATTCTAGTCGTGTCCTCTTTTGGAAGGCCAAACAAAGTAGTTTCGTTTTAACAACGAAACAGCGTCACACACCGCGGGCTAGAGTGAGCGGCGGAGGGTGGGTTTGCGGCAACCACATGTGACGACTCCAGGCTGGACTCCGCTTCGTCCGCATCCGGCAATCGACAGCGCGAAGTTGATGTATTTCCTCAGTGACCAGCACGGATCAGCTCTAGGCATGACGAAGCGGATATCGTCCTTTTTGGAAGGCCAAACAAAGTAGTTTCGCTTTCACAACGAAACACATGGCGGCCTAGAGTGAGCGGAGGCCGGCGGGTTTGCGGCAACCACATGTGACGACCCCGGGCTGGACTCCGCTTCGTTCATGGTGAAAGCCGATCCGGCAATCGACAGCGCGAAGTTGATGTATTTCCTCAGTGACCAGCACGGATCAGCTCTAGGCATGACGAAGTGGATATCGTCCTCTTTTGGAAGGCCAAACAAAGTAGTTTCGCTTTCACAACGAATCACACAGCGTCTTCAGGACATGGCGGCGGCGGCAACAATACTACAGCGAAAATAAAAGTTAAGCCTTCTTTCTTTGCGTGAACATTTGGGCGGCGTTATGCAAATCTTCCCACATAGTGACGTAGACATGTGGGGGCGTGTTAGAACGAGCCGTTTTAGGTAGGCGTGGTTGACTTTTAACTTTTATAAAGAATATCTCTTTGGATTTGAGACTTTAGTCTTTGCAACTTTACAGATCTTCTTTATGCACCAAGAGCTTGTAACACTCCAAAGATAAATTAAAAATTGAAATCGCATCATATGACCCCTTTAATGCAAATAACACTTAACAAATAACACCATTGACAGAGATTGTGCTTCTGGAGCAACCTGTTGCTTTGGCTCAACTGACTTTATAAAGGGGAGACGCCATCTTTAATCCAAAGTGAGTGAAAACAAGGCTAAATATGGCGTCTACCCTGATTGAGATTATTAGTACTATACTTTTTGGCTGCCTGTACCAGGAAGTGGACTGGTAGCTTTTTGTATATTAGTAGTCTCAAACTCTTGGCGCCAGGAAAGTAAATTGACCTTACAGAGTCTCCAGTTTCCAGGTCATCCTGCTTGAGGAAGGAGTTTTCAATATTTGCATTCAGTGAGTTTGAGAAGTTTTATACTTTTTTCAAAGTGACCTCAAAAATTAATCTCGTAAAACGCTTTTTAAAACATTATGTGCCCCAAATTACTTGTTTCAATCTGACGCTGAACATAAATTTAAGATTTAAATCATTGTTTTCAGATTTTTACAATGTGAACTGTGAAGATATAAGGTCAGAGTATTTCCCATGCATTTAAGGGCATGTTTTGATGTTGTAAATTATAGTATATATAGAATGACATGAAAGTGGAGGGAGGGAGAGAGAAGGGGGAACAACATCAGGACATGAGTCACATGTCACAATATTATTCTTTAAAAGCATATTCTTAAGTGCGAATAGAATGAACTGATTTTGTACACTTAACTGAATGTTAATTGCAATTAAATGAAAATGTATTATTTAGTTTATTTATGTTTATATTAAATCCAATTCGTTTTGAGTGTTGAGTGTTTTTGTCTCCGTAAAGCAGGATATAATTACATTCTTAATTTGATTGAGGAATTTACACAATTAAATACACTTTTTAATTGTGTTAAGAAAGTCATGAAAGTGTACTCTCTGTAAGTACAATTATGTGGCCTGATATTTCATTAATATTATATTATCTGAAACTGTGTTTTCAGATTACAATTAAGTGCACTTTTGGGATATCTGATCCTTTTAAGATTAAAGTTAATTCAGTGTAAAATACAGACTTTGACCTCATGCAGTAATGATAATCATGTATAGAGTGATGATTTAATCTTACTCCAAATCCACACACTCAATATTGCTAACATATTAAGGGAAATTGTGAATTAATTCCAAATACATCAAGAACTGATTGGATTGTGAACGGCGAGTGTTAAACTGTATAATGATGACAAGTGCTTGGAGGGGAAGGGTTGAAAAAAGTATGAGTGATTTCAGCATCTTCTAGCAGTACAGCTGCTGTTTCTGTATGAAACTGATACGGTTACTGCATTTGTATGACGAGGCACGTTTTTGCTGAATCTGCAAATGAAGCACTGAGAGGATGAGCACTGTTGGGCTGCATGCACCATTCCGTCTCACAGGAGAACATTTGTTGAGATACTCTGAGACCAATAGTGCATTGCACTATATAGTTAACAGTCCATTACCTGGTAACATGGTAGTCTAAAATAATAAATTAAGCGTTAGCGTTAGTTCTGGCAGGTCACGTGAGTCAAGCTTGCATCAGCTGATTCTCAGCTGATCACATCTACCTATAGGAATACGACACCTATAGCAGCATTCCTATATAAGCTCTATTCAGTATTATTCAGCTGCTTTTCAGCTTGCTCAGGAGCAAATTACCCTCCTCCATCCCCAGCTCCTCCTTTCGCCACAGTCAGGACTTGGCTTTCTGATATTCCTTGCTAATCAGACTCCTTTATCTTGAATAAAGTGTTACACTTAAATATCATTAAGTACATTAATGATATCTGCCTTGTTCTGTTCTGTTAACCCTAGGGGGGTTATTATTGCTGCTCTCCCTGCTCATTCATGACAGGCTGCATGGATGGGCAGGGAGTTTTTTGCCCAGAACAGAACCATACCGCCAAACCAAACTTTATGTTGAGTTATAATAATAATAAAAAGTCTGCGTATATGTTTTTTGTTGAGAATCATATTTGATACACCAGACTTTTATGGTTCATATAGTATGATATAGGAGAATACTTAAAACACCTCACATTTATGCAGAGGCCCAGACAATATGCAATTTGGTGCAGTTGCTGATCTTTATATTGTCAAAATGTAAGATGATCTTTATAACAGTATAGCAGACTACTTGCATAAAATACATATAAATATCAGTTGTCACTCTATATTTCCCAATAATATGTTTTAGTAAGATGATATTTAAATGCTTAGTTTATGATCCAAGCTCTGGAAGGCAAAACATGTAATGCAGTAAAACATTCCTCAAAAGCCTGATGTATCATACTCACATTTTTACATGATTTTTGTAAAAAATGATATATGGATAGTCAAGTAAACCTAAGTTGTTTCAGTCCAGCAAGTGTTCATCTTGAAACATTACTTTCAATACAATATAAAAGTTATTCTTTCGCTTAATTTATGAAAATCATACAAAAAAAAATTCCAAGGGGGACGTTTTGACAAGACAATAATATGTGCTTTATAAGTACTAATAAGCAGGCAAT